CTTTTTTTTTTTTGAAAAAAAAAAGGTTTTTGTGAACCACCCCCCCCCCCCCCCCCCCCTTTGGGGGGAAAAAAAAAAAAGTTCTTGGGGGGGGTTTTCCCTTTTTTTGGAAAAGGTTTCCCCCCCAAGGGGGGCCCCCCAAAAAAAAAACCCCCCCCCCCCCCGGGGGGGGTTTTCCCCCCCCCTGTTTTTTTTTCAAAACCCCCCACCCAAAAACCGGGGGGGGCTTTTTTAAGGGGGTTAAAAATTTTTGGGGGGGGGGTTTTGCCGGGAAAAACCCGGGGGGGGGGTTGGGAGAGAGGGGGGAAAAACCTCGGGCCCCAAGAAAAGGGTTTTTTTTTTCCCCCCCCTCCCCCCCCCCCCCCCCCCCCCCCCCCCCCGCCCCCCCAGCGGAAGAATAGCAGCGTTTTTCCTTTTTTTTTTAATACGGAATCACGGAGGCCTTTTTTCCAATTGATGGTGAAGAGGGACTCTGCTGTTGTACGCTCGTGTTGCCACGTAGTATCGCCCCATTTCCCCCGCCTCTGGTGGGGACAAATCTGAACACAGACGCTGTCCCAAGATCTTATGGCCTCACAACTGTCTTGCATGAAAGCTTGAATGACAAAGAATGCAAGCACATTTACTAGCTGTGATTTACTCAGTCTTGGAACGTATGTCCGGCTAATCAGCCGATGAGCCAGTAAATGTGTTATTCAGACACCCCCCAAAGTGTTGGGTGCGTTAGAACGCCAAAGCACGAGCCATACTCGAAGACGGGTTGCGCACACCTACCGATCCCCCCCCCCACACACTTTGCGGGACGTCCGTTTTGGCCCACGCCACGTTTTGCAGGCGCACAACATACGTTGTCCAGCGGTGCGGGGGTGTCGGACTCGACTCCGTCCTCATCTGCGTCTCCCCTCCCCTTCCACCAAGGGAACTACATGGAGTTCGCTCCAAGGATTACGGTGGTCGGCTGCGGCGGGGCGGGGGGAAATGCTGGTGTGTTGTGTCTCAACAATTCTTTATTGCAAATCATCAACTGCTATGCACACCAGTTGTGGTTCTCTTGCCGCAAAGGTTGTGATTCTGCTCGGGATACGTTGGACTGGGCGCGGAAGCATGCAATGAGAGGACTTGGTTACTCTGTGAGCGAAAATTTGTTTCAACCCAGCCTTGTCCTCCACCGTTAGTTCCGAGGGCTAGGATTTCTTGGTGGCAGGAATTTGAGTTGCCACGATACGGTAAAACCTCCCCATACATCCTTCATCTGCCCTCCCTCACGAATGCACCCGCGGTTCTCGACTCTCCCGTGCCATGTTCAGCAACGCCCCCGTCCTCCCATAATCTCTCTCCCGCTCCAAACAGTGAGCAATATGATTGCACGCAACCTTAAGGGCGTGGAGTTCATGGTCTGCAACACAGACGCGCAGCACCTGTCCACGACGCTGACGGACAACCGGCTACAGCTGGGGAGGAGCGTCACGGAGGGGCTGGGCTGCGGCGCGAACCCGGATGCCGGCCGAAAGGTGGTGACAAGTTTGACGGTGTGGCGTAGGGGGTTGGCGTGCTCTCGGTCTGTGTGTGTGTGTGTGTCTCTCTCTCTCTCTCTCTCTCTCTCTGTACGTGTGTGTGTCTCCCTCTCCCCCCCCCTCTCTCGCTCTCTCTCGTCCTGTCTCTTTGTCTCTCTCTCCCTCCTTCCCTCCCTCTCCTTCCCTCTACATCTCTGTGTTTCTTGGTGAGTTGTATAGGTGGATGTGCTGCGTTGTATTTGCTCCAAACCGGCGAGGGTAGAAAATGTCGTATTTTGTTGCGCCGAGGTGGGAGGGAGCGTGCTGTTCAGTCACTTTGCGGAACTGCCCCCGACATTCTTGCCACGTCGCGCCAAGTCGGCTGCCAGTGGGATGGTGCCCGCCTACAGCCTGGCCTGCTCTCATGCACGTGTCAAGTTATTTTTGCCCTCCGCATGGGTGATTTGCATGTAGGGCGTGCGCTTCTTTATGCCGAAAAGTGAAGGGTGTGTTATCCTATTCATTGCTGTTTGTTCTTGCTCCATGTTTTGTCTCAATAAATCGCCTTCTCTTTGATCTTTTGTGTCTTGTGTCTTGCACACCAAACTCGTCCTGTTTGGCCTAGTGTTTCATCGATAGATTTTCGATTTCTAGCCTCGCAGCTGGCAGAACTTGAGCGTGCCCATGCGTGTAGACCACAAACAATAGAGCCAACCACAAGAAGACCCTTCTTACCCCCCCCCCCCTCCCCCCCCTGAGTTGTACAGGAAGGAAAGAGAGGATCTCGAGGAGGAAATTGAGACAGAGAGGGTGTGACATGGACAAGTTTGGTAAATTAGACAACAGCGAAAAAACGATCGCGATAATTGGGGATAGATGGTGGGCACAAGAGGCCCTAGAGGACGGGGATAAGATGTGCAAGAAATTTTTATGGAGTTTGTGGCAGAAACGTAAAGAGCTCCCAAATGTTGGTGGTGTCTCTAGTAGGTGTAGGAACGGTGCTCCGTCTCGAAAGGGACGCGTGGTCAATGGTCAAATGACTACGGCAAGCAACAAATGAGTACGCCCCCCCCCCTCCCCCCCCTGTCCGTGCCACAGGCAGCGGAGGAGTCAAAGGAGGAGATCTTGGAGATGATCGAGGGGTCGCACATGGTTTTCATAACCGCGGGGATGGGAGGAGGCACGGGGACCGGGGCTGCGCCGGTTATCGCGGAGGCATGCATGGAGGCCGGCATCCTTACGGTTGCCGTCGTCACCAAGGTATGTATTCCACCACAGAGTTGGAGCCCCGTAGACAAGAAAAATCTCGGTCGATGGGGTAGGGGGGCAGGATCCATTGTGGCGTTGTGGCGTTGTGGTGTTGTTTAATCGAAGTATCGACCGCGCCAACTCGCCGACCAGGTGAGCACGACACACACATCATATTGTGGTATGCTCCTTCAAACGAAACCTACGTGCCATGTACGGCAAGTGCCCGCCTTCGTCCTACCATGGTATCTTACTGGTTTCGCTTGTAACTAACCGCTGTAATCCGTGTTCGTCCGCTCAACAACTTCGACGTGACGCGTCGTGTCACACGCAGCCGTTCCGCTTCGAGGGTAGCCTCCGGATGCGCCTCGCCGAGGAGGGCCTGCGTTTCCTCGCCTCCACGGTAGACACCCTGATCGTCATCCCCAACCAGAACCTGTTTCAGATGGTGGACAAGCAGACATCGTTGCTGGATTCCTTCAGGTCCGCTGTTTGTCGTTGGGGCTTCTGTTGTTGTTGTTGTTGCTGTGGCTGCTGCTTCTGCTGTTGTGTTTTGGTTTTGACGTTAGTAGCACACCGCCAGGGCCCAGTCCGTGGCGACAAAGTTGCGCGCGTGTGTTGACTTTGGAGAATTAGCAACGAGAGTGTGGCCTGGTGCGCTTTGTTCAGATACGTGTGTCTTTTCACGATTTGGGCTCTGGAAGAGCTTCTCGGCATTTTCCGGGCATGTCTGATGATCGACCGGCCGGTTCGAACTATTGAAAGAAATACGCGCTTACGCTCGGCACTACCGTTTCCTGCCGAGGGACAAGCAAGGACTCGTTCCATGAGTATTTTCCCTATCTATATAGCAGCACGCGTTTTCTCGCGATGCGATTCTCGCCTGGAGCGTGTTTGCTCGTGGTGCCTTGACGCCCCATCTCTTACGGGTGCCTGGCAGGCTCGCCGACGACGTGCTTCTGGCGGGAGTCCGAAGCGTGACGGACCTCATGGTTAACCCGGGGCTGATTAACCTCGACTTCGCGGACGTTCAGGTGATCACCCAATCGTGGAACACACGAAACGACCGGATACATCACGTAACGCCTACACAACAATTTGTTGTCCTTGGGATTTGCTCTAGCCGGTGGGGGTAGCTACGACGGCCTGCCTGCTGTGTTCGTGTTTCATGCGTGTGTGAGTGAGTGAACGAAGCCGGATTCTTGATCAGATTCGGTTTTCCGACAAGGTAATTCTAGCAGAAAGTCTAATTGGACATAGCGCAGAGGGGTGGTGCGGATTGAAGCGCTGGTGCACAACGGCGGACGCTGCTCGCTTTTTTCGTGGTCGGCCTCGCGGGCTTTGCCTGCCAGAACGAACACCAACAGTACTTGTCCGTATGACAAGTCGACGGGGGTGGGTTTCGGGTATAAATTATTAGGTTTGTCTCGTCTGCGAGGACTCTCTTTTGACCTTGGTCAGCGTCTCTCGTGAAATTATTTAGTAGACGACAGCAGTCCCGAGTGTGTGTGTGTGTTTTTTTTTTTTTTTTTTTCAGTTATGGGAACGCAATATTTTATTTTTCCCGCTTTCTTATGCATCGGCGGGGCTCGGTAAAGATTGACCATCGCACAACCCATCACGTTCGTCTTCGTTGTTACCCCCCCCCCCCCTACTCTTCTGCGTGTTTGGTACATAAGTCGGTGATGGCCGGAATGGGCAACGCCATGATGGGTACGGGGGAGGCCGAGGGGGAGGGTCGAGCGATACGGGCGGCCGAGGACGCGCTCAGCAATCCCTTGCTCGGGGAGCTGTCAGCGAAGGTGCGGCGATGTTTCCCCACGGGCTTTTTGAAGTCGTAGTGAGGCAAAGTACAGATACATGTATGATATTGGAAGGTACCGAGCGGAGACCGGAACGTTTTTTTCTGCCAAGACAACGACAACAACAACAACAACAACAACAACAGCAACAACAAAGAATGATTCGCGGACAGTAGCGCGACCGCGTTTTCTCAAAATCTCGCCGCCAACACGGCTTGCTCGGGAGTTAGGCGGCGGTTTGTTTTCTGTGTTTCGGGGTTGTCTCCAGATTTCGTCGGTGGGCGGCTGGCTATTCGGAGAGGGTCGTAGGCACGGCCGTCGGAGTGCGGAGATCACATACGACTAAGAGTGTTGTGTTTAGCAGTAGCGGTCGGTGACTTTTGGCCTTCACCGCATCTCTTCACGCAGTCGGTATCTTGGGGTTGCTGTGCATTGGTGGCCTGGGGGCGCATAGCACAGCGCACCGTAGCACCCCAACAATGTGAGCACAGCAGCCCAGGTGTGTCAAGACCGTGCCGCAAAAAGGGCCTGTTGGTCAACGAGCGGGAACGCTTACCTTCCTTTCTTCCTCCCTTCCTTGTGCTTTCCCCCCCCCTCCCGTAGGAAGTGGGCCGAAAAGACGGCAAGTGATATCGATAGGATAGAAGGACTAGGGAAGACATTTTGGAGCCACGTTTGGCAAAGTAGGAAGGAACGATTGGCCATCGGTGGTCGGTCCTGTGGGAACAAATGCTCCGTCCTCTCGAGGACGCGTGGTCAATGGTCTAACCGCTAAGGCATGCGAAACATAAGAGTACCCCCCCCCCCCCCCCCCCCCCC